CACAAGGCTCATCACTTACTATTCGTTTTTTCTCTGATGAGATTATTGAAGGCAAAGGAGCAAAGCTTAGCTACGAAGCTGTTGGTAAGATTTATGTTGAGTGAGAACACCAAACAAGAAGAGAGAAGATAATGTGAAAACTTAGAGCTGATTTATCGTATCTTTTCCGTTCACACCTACATATCCAAAAAGCAGGGATGAAGATTTGTATAATTGATCAGTAAGCTTATCTGATGCTGCCTGGAGGGAATCTAAGATGAGAATACTTAGGAGTACAAAAGTCGAGCAAAAGCTCTTACAAGAAATTAATCATGATTTTCCGAAATCAGACAGATTTGAACACAGAACTTCAGTCTAGATAAACGCTAATAACTGTTTCGAGCGGGTAAAAAACTTTGCAGTTCTCTGGGAAATGTTTGATGTTTGTCTCATGACCAAGCCACACCGTCCTCTGAAGGTAGAATATTTCCGCTTGCTTTTCCATAATATGCTGTTTCGCATACTCGGATTTATTCAAGCTATTCATAGCAGCATCTGTAGAAGTTAGACGCTTATGCGGTGCATCATCCACCTAACTGCAGTAAAATCGTGCCTCTTTTGAGCTATAGAAACAACAGCAACCTTAAATGTTGTTTTCTTTTATTTTTCCCAATCTAATTTCACTTTCTCCCATTGAATGACACTATTCAGCTCTAAAATCATTCGTGCTATCTTTCTCATGAGCACCTAAATAACAAGTGAAATTTCAGCATTTGGAGAATGCGATGCAGGATGGCTGAGCAAGGAAGACGGAAACTGTTACCGATATGTAGAGGCAGAGCCAAAAGTTGGATGGGCGGAGGCTCAGGTAAGAACTGCTCGAATAAAATAAAACATACTAGAAATTCAAAAAAATGTGTTGAGTATTCTAAGCGTTAAAAAATAGAATGTGGATACTGTTTGAATTAACTTTTGTTAAAACCATGCTCTACCACTTGTTTTCTATGCACGGGTATATCTCATTGCATTTTTCAGGAGCGATGCAGTCAAATGCAATCTAATCTGGCATCCGTAAAAGACGAACGAGATTTCGAATTTCTTGACAGTAAGACATTCGCTTTAATTTGCCTAAAATTAGATTTCA